GGAGAATTGTTGTTGATTTTACAATTGACGAATCGGAATTGTTATAAGCGAGCAACGCACCCGAGGCGCTCGACATGAAGACTGAATTGTTACTAACGGGAGCAGAATGTCTGAGAGAATAGGGTTAAACGGTCGGAACAAACGTAGTTATCTTCTGTTCGTTATTTGATAAGTGGAATCACGTGTTGCCCTCCCCCTTCCCTTGATTTCGTTTTCCTACGATGGCAAGGCGCGTTGATACATTCGCAAAACACACATAGGACGTTGATTGGCGCGAGGAGCGCAGAATGTATTGCTCGGCCGTCGACATCGTGGAAGTAGCTTTTAACGAAGCTTTGTTCTCTTCATTGTTGCGAAGACACCGTTGTTAAAGACACCGTCACACGCGTTATATTGTACATGAGTTTCTCGCGAAGACGCGGACCCGCCTTCGGGGTCTGCCTTCGTGACGGAGATGGGTCTTAGAGACACGACACGACACGTTAGCGGCCGACTGTTTTTGTTACTGTGATATAATTATCGATCGCGTAGCGATATATAAGTATACTCGTGCTTTTACTCGCACGCGCGCGACCAGCCAGGCGTGTTGAGAACACCTAACGTGGGCGATTCCATAGTGTCGCGCGTAGAGACGATAGCTATTTTGTACGTTCCGTTATAGGTCTTCTCGACTCTTAAGTTTCTCACGTTTACTAGACACTAGGACGTTGAGTTTGCGAGCGAGCGAGGAATTTCAGCCTCCTGGGGTGTCTCAGCGTCGCGCGATCCTCTACGCGAGGCCTCTTCCAGCGCTTAGCGAGCTTCCTGTCGATAGGCGCGCTGAGACACCCCGCGCCGGTACCTGGCCGATTAGGAACGCAATATGTTTTCACCGTCGGTTTATCGATAGCGATTTCCCGCGGTATGTTTTATGATCGTATATCGTCGCTGTGGAAATGTGAGATACAAATAAATTGATGTTCGGACACCCTACCTGCCAGATGTGCTTCACTGTTCTTTTTCCTAACATTACTCCAAGTCTTTGAACTTTCTCTCTCTCTCTCTCTCTCTCTCTCTTTCTTTCTTTCTTTCTCTGTTTCTACTTCTATCTCTCTCTTTCTCTCTGAAATCGAGCCTTAAGTTGCTTCTACTAAAACATCCAGGACCCGAGACTCGACAAACCCGTCACAGCTGCACGGTAGATGATCTATTATACAGTCTAACGCGTGCGATGTCTGTTTGTGGCCCGAACTAACGATGGATGCCTCCCACTGTCTCTCACGCACTCTAAAACTGCAAAGAGCGTGCTTGACACCTCCCGAGACCGAGCTCTCCCTCTGACTGACTCCACCTCACCCACATCCTCCGCCGCGTGTCATGAGACTAATACCACGATCGGTGAATCTGTGCAATTCTTCACCCGCGCCTGTGTGCTTTGCATCCATGCGTCGCCAAAGACATTTGCACCTTGCAGACACCTAAAGAGCCGATGTTCACCGGGACCAATGGTGAGTATCCTCGAGCCTCCCGTCGAATCGCGGATTCGGCTATCTCCTTCCGTCTTTCTCTCTTGAAGCGGTAAAAGACCGCTGTTTGCCTCTCGGTTAGCCATTGAGGCTCTTCTACAATGGCCGCAATGTCAATTGCAACGCTCCTTGTGACAATGATCATAAACTCATGCTGTGTACTAATTTGGAGTTGCAACTGATCAGCGGTACAGCTTTATGTAACATTGACGCTTCTGATTGGCTGTTACAATTCTAGACAAGTTCCCGCCATGACTTTGCGATTTCCTGTACGACAATTGCGATCGACAGGGCGACCATTGTGGAAGGAGCCCATAAACGCTCCTTGAAACATCCAAAGTCGAAAGTTATCGGAGCAGGCGAATCGAACCAAGTCTTACAGTTTAATTTTTGTTTTCAGATCTTCTCGTGATGGACTCCTTGATGAGCTTTGTAGGTCTCACGGCCGAAGTGACCAGCGAGCATACATCGTACAGATTCCATAAGTCCCTCTTTTACTGTCCCAAGTGTCTGCATGGCTTCACCCTCAAGAGCAATCGCAACCGCCACTTCAGATATGAATGCGGCCATGAGCCCAGGTTTAAGTGTCCTTATTGTGAGCTGCGCAGCAAGCAGATTTACTATCACATCAGGAAGAAAGACCAAAACGAGAAAGTCTACGTCGTCAACCTAAAATCCTAACGAATCGTGCTGAGCATCACGTCCAACTATTTTGACACCGCTGGCTACGTTATTACGCATTATAACGACCATAATGAGTGCAATGAATGTCTTCATTGCAACACATTCCGTTTCGAGATCACTTCGATCGTTCTCTCTTTCTTTGGTTCGTTGTTGATTGTCTCATTTCTCGTCTGTTGCCTCAGCTATGCGCTTTACTTCTCCGACTAGTTGCTTTACTTTCAGGAACAGACGACCGGTGTTACGAACACGTATGTATCTGTCAACTTCGTCGTTATCAGGTAGGAATATTACATGAGGCCCAAAAATCTTTTTCATGTCCGACTCGAGCTTCTTCGAGATATCGGCAGCTTTTATTGTCCATAAACTTTGCGAATAATTTCCATTCAATTTAATCACACTATGACGTTGGATGATGCACGACGTAGCTGTTCGATCACCCGCGCAGACTGTATCTCGAGACTGCATAGCTAGGTTGAGAGATAATGTAAAATTCATACACGTGAGATATTATATTTTCATACAGTTTTGGGCATCGTACACCACAGAAAAGTTGGTACATGTTTTAATGATAGATTTTGAGGGCCAAACTCTAAGGAGATTCGACCATCTCATTGTCAACATATTCATATTCTTGAGACCCATTGAGACAGCAATAAAGAGATCAACCATGAACAAAATATACAGTGTTAAAATCTAATATATATATATATATGTACCACGAAGATACCGTTGTGCAGGAACAAGTGATGAAATATGATGAGAGACAATCATCATTAAAATATCTACTATGAAGATTCTAGGTATAATTTCTGCGTAGCGTCACTTCAGGACCAAGGGCCATGTTCTGGACACACAGTGAATGATAAATACACCTTTTTGATTCTGAAGTTGAGACGAGGTTATACGTGACGCTCATATAAGAAAAATTAAACTTGGAATTAAAGAATATATTGTAACGATGCATATCGTTACGTAATAAAAACGCAGAACAACGCGAATTAGAAGCGCAAGAGGACAGCGCGTCCTCTAACATTGTAAACAGCGCGACCGCCGAACAACCGCGGTAAATAGCGAATCAAGCGAGATTCGAGGTATATAAAACGCCGCGTAATCGTAATCGAAAGATTCGATCGTCCGCTCTCGAAAGAGAATCAGAACCGATCTACCGCTCTCGAAGGAAAATCCGATTCCGATCATCCGCTCTAAGAGAGACCGACTCTACTCCGCGCCTGGCAGATTACTGTTCGTCGATTGGCGACTGTAATCACTCCGCCGTCGTTGCACGGATACGTGTCATCGACATTCGACTCTACTCCGCTTCTGGCAGATTACTGTTCGTCGATTGGCGACTGTAGTCACTCTGCCGTCGTTACACGGATACGTGTCATCGACATTCAACTCTACTCCGCTCCTGGCAGATTACTGTTCGTCGATTGGCGGCTGGAATCACTCCGCCGTCGGCTCACGGATTCGTGAGACCGACACTAATAAAACCCGCGGCACCGTTGACCGCATCCGAAATCACGGCCGCATGAGCCAAGCTCGTGTAATCATAAAGGAAACTCCGAAAGCTAAGGTCCCGCGTACAAGGACCGACGTACGCATCAGATACGCGGAAACGACTCAAATCCTCACGACAAGAGATCGAAGGGAACGCCGCTAAGGCAATATCTCGCGTGCAGCCACGCTGCAATCTCAGCGACCGCGGACATTATATGATTCCGAAACGCCGATAAAATCGCTAAAGAAGTGTCAACCGCACTTAAGAGACAAGACGCCAAAAGAAATATCAACAGAATAAACTCGCGAGTGCGCGACACTGACGTCGTCCGTGTCCCACGCACCGCGCGTCACATCACGCAAGCCGGTGTCTAAACAAACCTCTGTCAAGCGATACAAACAACCATAACCAACGGCGTCGACACGTACTGTTCTCTCTGTATATTGTCATTATCGTCAGCTTATTATTTAAATACATTAATCATTATTATTTAAAAAAAAAACACTGTTCTTTTCAATTATTCCCCTTATCACGAACCCGATCCAACAAGCGATTCGAACCCGCAACGAATCGCGCTTACAATATTTAAATTCGTTGTATTTCCAGAAAAAGACCCCAGGAGCCGTATTTTGGACACATAGCGAACGCTGAATATACCTTTCTGATTCTGAAGTTGAAATGAGTTTATACGTGACGCTCACATAAGCAAGATTAAATTTCGAATTAAAAAGATATGTTTAAATTCGTTATACTTCCAGAATAAGATTCCAGTGCTGGGATTCTGTAACTCGTTATTGGAGTTAACGACAGTTTCGTTATCGTTGCGCAATTTTTCTACAGTATATAAAAGTTGCGCAACGATAACGAAACCGTCGTTAACTTCAATAACGAGTTACAGAATCTTAGCACAGGGGCCGTATTGTGAACGCTAAATATACTTTTCTGATTCTGAAGTTGAAACGAAGTTTATATGTGACGCTGTCGTATAACTAAAAGGAAACTCGGAATTCAAAAGGCATATTGGCGCGTTCGCTGTAAGGCCCCTGGCTTCACGCGGCTCGACCCGACCGGTTGTGAAGTGCGACGCAAGTTGGACACCTCGCACCTCTCGCGGACACTCACTCATCGCCGCGACGAACATCGAGCTCATGCATACACTAATCCACCTTTAGGGGAATCATGCCTCTTCGACGGTTTTTTCACGCCTCATCACCGATCATTCACAATCATCCGGTCTTTTCCTTCTTACTAACCTGTTGTCTGCTTTCAGTGGAGCGCTCTTACCGGTTTCTTACGGAAATTACGGTGGCGAGCCGTACAACTCGATGAAGTTTGACGCTGGTCAGAGTATCAGGGGGGCCACGATTCGACATCTCGAGAACGATCGTAGGAAACACGTGTGCCCCAAGTGCGGCAACGGTTACACCGTGGTCAAAAGTTTCAGGCGACATCTGCGCTACGAGTGCGGCTTGACGCCGAGATTCAAATGCCCATACTGCGGCACTCGCAGCAAGCAGGCCCACGTGAGCCAACACATACGCAGGAAACACTCTGGTCAATGGATCTACATCATCGACTCGCCCTGATGAATTGCCGGCGTCGTTTCAGCGTCGTCGTCGTCGTCGTCGTCGCTGCTGCCGCCGCCGCCGTCATTTCCCTCGGGAAACAGTTCCTCCAGCTCGCGAACGATTGTTCATGTTTTCTTGCCAACATGCATGCGCGAAACAAAATATAAGATCGACAAGAATAAAAGTTGATCTTATATTATGATTTGAGTATGCTCGCGACCCTCTTCAGTCAACCCGTACCATATCGATAACGCATCCGACATATCCATGTGGCGGCGTTGTACTTGATTCTTATTGTTGGATGTAACTTGTCAGCTTGTTAACTGTGTACTTGTGGAACTGTACTGATGGAATAAATCACCTTCACGATTACCATCGGACACCTCGAGAAGTGCTTTCTCTTGTATCGCTGAATTTCTCGCTGGAGCGCCCATGTTGGACGGTCTCTTGTCCTTCTCCTCTTTTTTTTCTTTTTTCTTTGAATTTCAGTAGCAGTTACCAGCGAGAGAAGACGATCAATAGTAAGATCTAGTTTTGTCAGAGACAAACCGCGTTCGTTCCCACGAGAGAAGCGAGCAATCGAGATGCCCGTTTGATTTCCTTGCATCTCATGTACCAAACGCCCTGTGTATGTGCCAACTCCTCAGGGCGATCGGACTCGCAGCTTGCCTTGGTTGGCTTGCTGGCGCGCAAGCCCAGCAGGTAAAACGAAGACAGATCCTTGCGCGAGCTTGCGCCCCTCTCAGGGTCAGGTGACAGGAATAACTCGCGGTAATATTTCGCAAGCTCCACGATCCCATCACCTTCTTTCTTTTTTATTTTATCTCTTCCATCTTCATCACCTCGGTGTCTCGACCACTCAATCCATGTGTATCTCGAACGTTTTCCCAACTAACCACATGTCTTCTTGATTTTTTTTTTTTAGACATAAAGAATATCAAATTGGAGGCCAGTTTGGAGTGCCAATACCCGATGGTGATAATGGAGTCCAAGGGCTCCGACGACGACGAGAAGCCGCTCGCCTCGAGGAGTCGTCGGAACGGACTCAAATGCGTCGAGAGGCACATGTGCTCGCGCTGCTCTAAAAGCTACATACACGCGTGGCACCTGAAGAGGCACACGAAGTTCGAGTGCGGCCAGAAACCGAAGGTCCAGTGTCCTTACTGCACCGTCAGAATGAAGCAACGCGGTCACATGTACAGGCACATCCGCCAGTGCCACCGGGGAAATAATGTTTACGTGATCGGTTTGAACTGAGAGCGCGCGTACGACGAGAGGCCGACTCAAATAAAAAACCGTGACATACACCGTGTGGTTCCTAGGCATACCTTCCCGAGAAAAACAGATTACATATACAAGGGCCATTTGAAAAGTTTCCGGCCTCATCGACATAAAGTAACTGTAGAAAAAAATTGCTTTCGCCGTCCGATAGATGACCTTGACATATGTAAACCGTAAAAAGTTGAAGTCATTCTGATCATTACTTTGTCTATGGCAACTCTTCCAAAGTTGTCAGCTAACATTGTCTGTGAATGGAGAAACTTGAGTATCGCGCAGTGATAAAATTCCTTCATTTGAAAGGGAAAAAGACTCAGGAAATAAAAGATGAGTAGACTCTGTATACGGTGAAGCCTCCTCTTCATTTATAACGGTCAAATATTGGGTGGCCGAGTACAAACGTGATCGTACGAGCATTTTAGACGAGGAACATTCCGGGCGCCCGAAAAGCGCTACAACTGACGAAATGGTTGATTTAGTGCATCAAACTGTGATTGCAGATCGTCGATTGACGGTTAAGGATATTGCTGAGGCTTGTGAGATATCATCTGAACAGGTGCACAAGATTTTACATCAAGAATTGGATATGAGAAAATTATCCGCGCGCTGGGTGCCGCGCTTGTTGACGATCGACCAAAAGCGCATACGGATGGACATGTCGCGCGAGTGTCTTAGCCTGTATCAAAAAAATCCAGCGGAATTTTTGCGGCGAATGATAACCATCGATGAAACCTGGGTACACCACCATACGCCTGAGACAAAACAACAGTCAAATCAGTGGATTGCGGTAGGGAAACCAACTCCGAAGAAGGCAAAGGTCGTTTTCTCTGCTGGAAAAGTGATGGCGACAATTTTTTGGGATAGCCGTGGAATAATTCTCATCGATTACTTTGCAAAAGGTGAAACAATCAACGGACAGTACTACGCTGCATTGCTGGATAAATTGAAGGCCACAATTAAAAAAAAACGTCCGCATTTGGCCAAGAAAAAAATCCTGTTTCACCAGGATAACGCTCGGGTTCACACGTGCATGGTCGCAATGTCAAAATTGAACGAATTAAAGTTTGAATTGCTTCCGCACCCACCTTATTCGCCAGATCTAGTTCCCAGCGACTTTTTCCTGTTTCCAAATTTGAAAAAATTTCTCGGGGGAAAGAAAATAAGTCAAATGCTGAGGTGGAAAACGCTATAAACCAACATTTTTCAGGTTTAGACAATCAATTTTTTCTGACGGTTTAAAAGGATGGGAGAAACGTTGGACCAAATGTATCGAGTTGCAGGGAGACTACGTCGAGAAATAAATTTTGTTTTGCTTCGAAATATGTTTTTCTTAAAAAGGCCGGAAACTTTTCAAATGGCCCTCGTAAGTATATGTGTGAATTTTGTCTCTACACTATGGCTATATATGGGCATACATAATTATGTACGTCTACCTAAAAAGAAATACTATTGTACATAAATGTAACTAAAGTTAATTGCTTATATTTGTGGCAGGCCGCGATGTTCGTACAATGTTCATAAAAAAATTGTTATGCCACTATTTTCTCTTCTTTCTATTCAACAAATGTTTTTCCGTGTGGACATACGTAATTATATATGAATAAACAATATTACACAGATCATTAACATATTAAACTCCACGTATGAATCCCCACGTCACCTCACGGGGCCGCTGGATAGCGGACTGCCAGCGACGAAGCCCGCGGTCTCCACAAGGCAAGCGGACACCTATTCGCATCTCGCAAACGAACCGGCCGCTCACCACCCTCGGGCCGTTCAAAACAGACATACGTGCCATATATTTATATACATATGTCGAACAGTTTAGAATTATATATTCCTTTATGTTCTTTAATATTTTTTTTTGTAGAACTCTTTGTGTTTTTATGTAATTGTATAGTTTCCATCATCGATTGTCTCACGTTATGATAATCATGAAGACTTATCTATGGATATATACATATATTTATATATACTACTGTGTCCAAAAAGTAAGAACAGTTTTAATTTATTTCAAAAAATATTTATTCTTCCAAATCTATTTCGTCGCCTTCAAAGTAATCCCCTCCCGACACAATACATTTATTTTCCAGCCAGCGTATTTTCGAGTCCTCGAAACAAGAATTAAAGTCGCCTTCCGGGATGGCTTTCAGAGCGCGTAGCGATTCACGTTGTATCTCTTCTATCGTCTCAAAACGATTTCCCCGCAGTGGTCTTTTGAGTTTCGGGAATAGCCAGAAGTCACACAAGTGCTAAATCAGGCGAATACGGTGGTTGTGGAACGATATGGATCGAATTTTTGGCGAAAAAGTCACGAAAAACGAGTGCAGTGTGAGAAGGTGCATTATCGTGATGCAAAAATCAAGAATTGTTTGCCCACAATTCTGGCCTCTTCTTGCGAATAGCTTCACGCAAACGACGCATAACACTCAAATAATACTCTTTGTTGACGGTTTGGCCGGTTTGGTCGATTTTCTTGACGTGTTGTTCATCGGTAGAGGTTGATGGTCGTCCGGAACGCTCTTCGTCTTCAACACTTTCACGACCTTCTTTGAACTGTTTATACCACTTGTAAACATTTCTTTCCGACAAAGCATGGTCCCAGAAGGCTTTCTGCAACATCCTGAACGTTTCTGCACCCGAAATTTCATTCCGCAAACAAAATTTAATGCAACTTCTTTGCTCAGTCTTATTAGACATTGTAAAAATCGCCGAATGCATTTTTAGCGTCGTACAAAACCAAGCGTAAAGCAAAAAGTAATGAATGTTTTGACATGAAATTTGTCACAGATGACTATCACAATGCTGCCAACTTAGAAAAAAAAATATTTATGATGTGCGGTTTACCCGCGCGATTTAAATTGAAAACTGGTCTTACTTTTTGGACACAGTAATACAAGTCTATATAAATTATATATATATATATATATATGTAACGCTATTTCGCGTTCGGTGCGGGATAAGCTGTGAGTCGGTGTGGTCCGGATTCGAGCAGATGTCAATAATCGTGAAGACAGTGGAATGGATATTAGAATAATATATATTGTCGATTAGATGGCTATTTACAATGTGTATGTACAGGTTGAGTCGACGCCGTTGGCTTCGTGCGCGGGCTTTTGTGTTCGCTCGTGTTGATGTCCGCTGCGGCGGAGCTCGGGCTGCGGGACCGCTGGTGGTCGCGGAACGCGGGCGGTCGTGTGACGCGTCGACCGTGTTGTGCTTGCGGCGCGATGTTGACGTTTGGATCTTTAATTTTGGTCGCGCGTGGAGAGCAGTTACTTGATGACTAATACGGCCCTGCTTGCGCGATGCGTCGAATTTTTGCGGCACGGTCGTGTGCTACGATACGGTGCCGCGGGGATCGGTTTCCCCGGGACGGCGGCGCGGCTTCGCGGAGGTCGACCTTACGAATCCAATAAGGCGACGGATCGGTAAGCAAGGCTTTACGAATTCGACACGTCTCCGCGAGTGTCGACTCTACGAATCCAACGAGTCGACAAAGCGGTAGCCGGTACGGATTTAATAAGTCTACGTGAATGTCGACTTTACGAATCCAAC